CGCTGTAGCTCAAGTGGTAGAGTGCTCGCCTTGAGCTGAAGAGCTGAGGGACAGCACCCAGGCCTAGAGTTCAAGCCCCACGACCAACAAAAAAAAAAAAAAAAATTCTTTAAAAATACCTGTTCATTTATTGGCACAGACTCAGAGTTACTAACTTATATGATTCTCACTACTTGATAGAAATAAATTTTTATTTTTATTAAAAAAATACCTGTTCATAACAATGCTCAATAGGAAGTATACTCATTACCTTACTCATGTAACTGTAACCCTCTGTATAGTATCTTTACAATAAAAAATATATAAAAAAATTAAAAAAATACCTGTTCAGCTCAGGTTCCAGTGGCTCATATCTGTAATCCTAAGTGTTCAGGAGGCTAAGATCTGAAGATCACAGTTTGAAGCTAGCCCAGACAGGAAAGTCCATGAGACTCTTACCTCCTATTAACCACCAAAAAGCTGGAAGTAGAATTGTGGTTAAAGTAGTAGAACTATTAGCCTTGAGCAAAAAAAAAAAAAAAAACCAAAAAACTTAGGGACAATTCTCAGGCTCTGAGTCAAGCCCAGAGACCAGCACGAAAAAGGAAGAAGAAGAAGGAGGAGGAGGAGGAAGAAGAAGAGGAGGAGGAAGAGTAGGAGGAGGAGGAAGAGAAGCAGGAGGAGAAGGAGGAGGAAAGATGAAGAAAATACTTATAGAAACTTTCCCCTATTACTGTACATTTTATGTTTTTGCTCCATATGTACTGCTTCAGAAGTGCTGACTAAATATTTGTGAGCATTATAATTATTTAGGATAAAGTCTCCAAAATAAGTTTATTGGATCAAAGATCACAGCTTCAGTCCTTAATCCCCGTTGTCAGGTTGTCCTCCAGAAACTTTCACTACTCTCACTAGCTATATGGCAGGAAAGTCCGTGAGCGAAGAGTCTCTCACACTTCCTGCCTGGGTTGGCTGCAATCCTCAGATCTCAGCCTCTTGAGTAGCTAGGATTATAGGTGTGAGCTGCCGGCACCCAGCTTGGGTATGACTTTTTAGATGGTTGATAGTTATTTTTCCAACAATTCTGCCCTCGCATGATTAGCTTTCAGGATAAATTGATAATTGATAATTGATAATTTTTAATGGTTCCTGTTTAAAATATATTTCTCATGTACTTGTCTAGTTAGGGTCCTGTGACTAACTCACCAGGTTTGAGATTTCCCTTGGAGGATCTGCAGGTCTCAGAATACAGGAGTAGTTGTGCTCAGTCAGTGAAAGAAGTCATAGAGGAATCTGCAGAGGGAAAAGTGCATGCATAAAGCCTGGAGGAAATCAGGCTCCCTCTCTCATTGGAGGAAAGCAGGATGTGCTTGGATTTCCTGGAGAAGAGTTGTAAGAACAATTGAGATGACACTGCTCGGGGTTTTTTTGTTTGTTTGTTTTTTGTTTTGCCACTCCTGGGGCTTGAACTCAGCTTCTTTTGCTCAAGCCTAGCACTTTGAGTCACAGTGCCATTTCCGGCCTTTTCTGTTTATGTGGTACTGAGGAATTGAACCCAGGGGTTCGTGCATTCTAGATATTCCACCATTAAGCCACATTCTATCAGCGCCTTCTGTCCAGCTCATACCCAAATGCCATAATCTAAGAAGAAAAATGTTTTCAGCAAGTCCATTTATTTTTTTGCTTTATCCTTCTTCCTTCCTTCCTTCCTTCCTTCTTTCCTTCCTTCCTTCCTTCCTTCCTTCCTTCCTTCCTTTCCTCCCTCCCTCCCTCCTTCCTTCCTTCCTCCCTCCTTACTTTCTCCTTCTTTCCTTTTTCCCTCCCTCCTTCTTTCCTTCTCTCTCCCTCCACTATTTTGTCCCTTCCTTGTCCTTCTTTTCTTCCTACCCTTCTTCTTTCCCTTCCTCCCTCCCTTCTTTCATGTTTTCTTTCTCCAAGTAATGCAGTCTCAGTGAGCAATTCTTACTTAACATGGCAGAAATCCCCAAATCCAATTTCTGAGGTGTCAGCCAAAGGTCAGCCTAATAAGCAGACATTTCAAAAAGTTAGGCTTATTATATTAACTCTCTTCACACCTATTTTATAAGTCATCATGTATTTTATGTATGTATATTTATGATTTAATTTTTATTGTATAAGGCTACCATTACTAAGAGCATTGTACTATGTTCAGAATTTAAACCTTACCCCTCCCACTTTTTGATGTCTGTTCCAGGGCTCAGCTTTCATGCTCATGGCTGGCAGGTACCCTACCACTTGAGCCATACCTACAATCATGCATTTGCTGGTTAATTGAACATGGAGTCTTTTCTGAGTGGGCTGACTTTAATTATGATCCTGAAAGTCTCACCCTCCTGAGTAGGCTAGTTTAGTGCCCAGCTAACCATTATTCCTTTTTATTGGGCTAGGAATGCATCCAGGGCCTTTCACGTAACAGGCTGATTGGGCTAGGAATGCATCCAGGGCCTTTCACATAACAGGCTGATGCTTTTCTTTTTTTTTTTGGTCTGCCATGGGGCTTGAACTCTGGGCCTGGGAGCTGTCCCTCAGCTCTTCAGCTCAAGGCGAGCACTCTACCACTTGAGCTACAGCGCCACTTCCGGTTTTCTGGTGGTTTATTGGAGATAGGAGTCTCATGGTCTCTCCTGCCCGGGCTGGCTTTGAACCGCGATCCTCAGATCTCAGCCTCCTGAGTAGCTAGGATTACAGGCGTGAGCCACCAGCGCCTGGCTCAGGCTGATGCTTTTCTACTGAGCTGCATCCCCAATCCTAGAATTACTTTCCAATTTTCTTATTAATATATTGTTATTATTGGTGTGGTGGTTGAATCTGGGTCTTGAGCTTTCTAATGAGCATGCATTCTACCACTGAGTCACATACTTTGCTCAACCCCAGAATTTTTTTTGCGGGGGGGGGGGCGGAGTTTGATCATAGGGCTTGAACTCTAGGCCTGGGTGCTGTCCCTCAGTTCTTTAGTTCAAGGCAAGCACTCTACAACTTGAACCACAGCGCCACCTCTGGTTTTCTGGTGGTTAATTGGAGATAAGAGTCTCATGGACTTTCCTCCTGATCAGGCTTTGAACCACAATCCTTAGATCTCAGCCTCCTAAGTAGTTGGGATTATAGGTTTGAGCCACCAGTACTGTGATGGAGGGAAGGCACAAAAAAAATTCTGAACCAGGTACTGGTGGCTCTACCTTCTGTTCTTTTTCCCTTGCCCTACACATTCTTGCCATGCATAAATCCTCGGCTCTTATAGTATTGAAAAAGCATTAAGAAGCTCTGTTTTATCACTTTTTGCTAAGAGCAAGTGACTTATCACTGCTTTGGTGATTTTTTTTCAGATGAATCTTTGTAGTGAGTCCCAAGTCTGTCATGGAAGTACTATTTTGTAAAGTTTTTATTATACAAACAAACCTCTTAAAAGTTGTGAACTTGGAAGTGGTGCTGTGGCTCAAGTGGTAGAGTGCTCGTCTTGAGCTGAAGAGCTGAGGGACAGCGCCCAGGCCGAGTTCAAGCCCCATAACCGACCAAAAAAAAAGTTGTGAACTGTATATGCTTATATTTGCAAATATATTATTTCTGTTCTTACTGTCTTCAAGAAGAACTATTATAACTTTTATGGACCACAACTGCTTCTATCAAAAAGAAATTTTAGTTTGACTTTTTTTCCTATATAATGAACTTGAATATTCCTACTTTTTGATAGTTTCATCAGGACTTTCTTTGATCCTGTGCTATGTTCCTTAGATCCTGAGAAGTCTCATGAGTTTGCCTTGATTGGAAATGTCAACCCTGAGGCTGCAGTACGAGTTGTCCAGTCTATGGCTCGCTTCATGGCCGCCTATTTCACCAATCAGCTGCTCTGCATTTTGCCACCTCACAGTGTGAATGTTCTTCCTCCACTTCACACCAAAACAGGTAAAGTGTGGTAAGAGAAGAATTCCTTCCTGGACTTTTGCACATATGTTTAAAGATATTTTTTTTTCTTGTTGGATGTGGGGCTTGAACTCTAGGCCTGGGCACTGTTCCTGAGCTCTTCAGCTTAAGGATAGTGCTCTACCACTTGAGCCATAGCGCTACTTCTGGTTTTCTGGTGGTTTATTGGAGATAAGTGTTTCATGGACTATCCTGCCTGGGATAGCTTTGAACCATGATCCTGAGATCTCAGCCTCTCAAACTGGCCTCAGACGTGAGCCACTGGTGCCTGGCTAAAGAAATTCTTTTATGGAAGGTATACTGTTACAGCATGTACCACCATGCTCAACCAAAATGGATGTCTTTTTTTTTTTTTGGCAGTACCATGATTTGAATTGAAGGCTTTATGCTTTTGCTAGGCAAGCATTTTTACCACTGAAGCCCCTTTTTTTGTGTGTATGGTCATTTTTGAGATTATGTCTTACTTTCAGTCTGTACTATGACCCTCCTATTTCTACTTTGCTTCATATCTGGGGTGGCAGGCATGTACCACTGGCCCTGGCCATTGTGCTTCCCATAAAGCTGGGATGACAGGAATATGCTACCAACCCCAGTGATTGGTTGAGATACACTTTCATGAAAACTTTCCTTCTGGATGTCCTTGAACTGTGACCCTCCAGATCTCTGCCTCCCAAGTAACTTGGATTATAGGATTAAGTCACTATGCTCAACTTCAAACTGTATTTATTTATTTATTTTTGGCTGGTCTTGTGGTCTGAACTCTGGGCCTGGGCTCTGTTCCTCAGCATTTAAGCTCAAGGGTAGCACTCTACCACTTGAGCCAGAGTGCCACTTCTGGCTTTTTGTGATTATGTGGTGCTGAGGAATTGAACCCAGGGCCTCATGCATGCAAGGCAAGCACTCTACCACTGAGCCACCTTCCCAGCCCCTCAAACTCTATTTTTAAAATAACATTTCTGTCATATTCCAAGTTGTTTCAAATTACTGTAATTAAAAAAAAGGCCAGACTAGAATCTTGTCATTTATTCAGAGATTTTAATAAAGATCATACTTTTCAGTTTTTTGGTTTTTTTTTTTTGGGTCTGGTCGTGGAGCCTGAACTCGGCCTGGGTGCTGTCCCTCAGCTCTTCAGCTCAAGGCTAGCGCTCTACCACTTGAGCCACAGCGACACTTCCGGCTTTTTTCTTTTTGCTTATGTGGTGCTGAGGAATCGAACCCAGGGCCTCGAGCATGCAAGGCCTGCACTCTACCACTGAGCCACCTTCCCAGCCCCCATACTTTTCAGTTTTATTGGTTGGTTTTCTTTTCTTTTTGGCAGTACTGGGGTTTGAATTCAGTACCTTGCTATACGTCAGCCCTTTTTTGTTTTAGTTATTTTTCAGATGTCTCTCTCTCTCTCTCTCTCTCTCCCTCTTTTTTGAAGTGGCTTCTGACCATGATCCTCCAACATATGTCTCCCATGTAGATGAGCTTGTACCACCATGCCTAGCTTATTTGTTGAAATGACATCTCACAACTTTTTTGTGAGGATGGCCTAAAATCACTATCCTTAATATCTCTGTCTCTTTAGTGACTGGCATTGTGTGTGTGTGTGTGTGTGTGTGTGTGTGTGTGTGTGTGCTATTTTATTTCAGTATTATTGAGGCTAGACTCTAACTTTTAAACCCAAGAATCCTGCCTTAGTCTCCTGAGTCTCTGGGATTACAGGTGTGAGCCATTGCTCCCAGCAAAAACTTTTCCTTTCATTTTTTAGTGATGCTGGGAATAAATCTAGGGCCTGACATATGCCAACCAAGAGCTCTGTCATTGATCTGCCTCCTCTATTTTTCAATGAATACTAATATACCAAACACTTTATATGTTTGATTAATCCACACAGTTTTAGTGCATGTGTATGTGCTGGTAATAGGGCTTGAACTCAGCCTCATGCTCTTTGTTGGCTTTTTCCGTACAGGCTGGCATTCTTCATTTGAGCCACATTTCTACTCCTGTGCAGGCTTTTTGCTTTTAATTGTATGACTCTGTGGGTAAAAATTCAGATAAAATGCTCTGTCTTCCCTCTAAGTTACATGATCTAGTATGAAAACAGACATGTATGTCAGAGCAGTTGACAGTAATAAATTGTGCATTGTGACAGTGTATATTTATTTATGTGTGTACTCTATCACAAATATCTCTTTAAAATTTACTTATATATAAAACACATTTTTTCTGTTCCTGTTTTTATATTTTAAAAACTGGCATTTAGTTGGGTGCTGGTGCCACATGCCTGTAACCCCATCTACTCATGAGGCTGAGATCTGAGGATTGAACTTTCAGGAAAGTCCCTGAGATTCTTTTTCTTTTTTAAATGCGTTTTTTTAATTGTAAAAATAGTATACAGAGGGGTTACAGTTACATGAGTAAGGTAATGAGTACATTTCCTATCGAGCATTGTTATTTCCTCCTTTGTTTTTCCCTTACCATCCCTTCCTTCCCCACTTCCACAACTCCTTCCTCCCTCCCCCCCCCACAAGTTATAAAGTTTGTTTTCAACATAATGTCTTATACATCTCATTGTTACAATGGGTCAAACTGTATCGCTATTTAAGCATTTTGTTTTTTCTCTTCCCCTCCCCAAATTAGAAAAGTCTAAGATGCAGGGCACTGGAATCAAATAGAGTGAAAACGGGATATACCATGGGGGAAGATCATACAAAAGAAACAAAAAAAATCACATAGTACATTATAAGTATGTTAAAAACAATAGCAAGAAAAAAACCACTGTGTCCCTGCCTTGGAGTTCATTTCACTTAACATCATCTTATATGATCATATGTACATAACTTTTGCTCTTTTCTGCTTGTCCTAGACATATACTAGTTATTGCAAATAAGGGAAACTATGGGACCTATGTTTCTTTGGGTGGGCCTGGCTTACTTCACTTAATATAATTTTTTCCAAATCTTTCCAATTTGCTAACAAATGGGGCAATAGATGGAGGCATAGAATTCCATTGTATATATACACCACATTTTCTTGATCCATTCATCTACTGAAGGGCATCTGGGTTGGTTTTATATCTTAGCTATGGTAAATAATGCTGCGATAAACATAGTTGTGCTGGCAGCTTTAGTATAGCCTTGTTTTTGATCGTTTGGGTAAATTCCCAAAAATGGGATTGCTGGGTCATAGGGGAGCTCTATGTGGAGTCCTTTGAGAAACCTCCATACTGCTTTCCAAAGTAGTACCTGAGATTCTTATCTCCAGTTAACCACCAAAAAAACCCAGAAGTGGTAGAATACTAGTCTTGAGCAAAAAAGTTCAAGGACAGTGCTCAGGCCCTGAGTTCAAGCCTTAGATGGCACACACACATACAAATAATACTGGCATTTGTTTCATGAGCCACTAATGAGATATTTTTTAACAAAAACTATTCTAGGATGTAGTGTTATTTCACCTTATTTTGTATGTATCTGCCTTGTGGCTTTGTGTGGAACATACTAACTAAAGAGATAACTATACATGGTAAATGTAACATATAAGACTGCATGAGTTTGGATATATGTCTGTAATTGTAATGTCCATTTTCTTTAACTTACTCACAGAGCAGGCCCTTCGACTCATTCCTCTGCAGCACGCTAAGGTGGCCAATGTTGTTAGAGATCAGAGTCTCTCAAATGTGTGGACAGTTGAATATGCCCTTGAATTATTATTGATTGGTGGCCTGATTCCAGAGGCTGTGTGGCTGGCACACAAACTTGGAGACTGGAAGACATCTGTTTCAATTGGAGTGGCCTTCCAACTGTTCTGTAATGATGATAAAAATTCTATGAGGTATGTATTTTTCACATCAGTTCAAAGATTCAAACTTAGGGCTTTGAGCTCCCACTTGGATTTTTCACTCATGGATGACACTCTACTGCTTGAGTCTCTCAAGCTTTTCTGTCTGGGATGGCTTCAAATCATCTTAATCTCCTGAGTAGCTAGGATTGCTAGCATGAGCCACTGGTACTCAACTCAAGGAATGTATTTTTTAAGCAAGCTTAAGATATGGTATGATAGTGTCATTTAAAGTATTTTATGTTTCTCCTGTTTGTAGTGGTGTAGTGGATTTTTTTTTTTTGTCGGCCGTGGGGCTTGAACTCTGGGCCTGGGTGCTGTTCCTCAGCTCTTCAGCTCAAGGCGAGCGCTCTACCACTTGAGCTACAGCGCCACTTCCGGTTTTCTGGTGGTTTATTGGAGATAGGAGTCTCACGGTCTCTCCTGCCTGGGCTGGCTTTGAACCGCGATCCTTAGATTTCAGCCTCTAGAGTAGCTAGGATTACAGGCGTGAGCCACCAGCGCCTGGCTTTGTATGTGGATTCTTTTAGTTCACCGTTTTCCTATAGAACTTTCTTCAGTGTTTTGTGCTTGGTGTCCATTGTAGATGCCAGTAGCTATAAGTAAAACAGCATTCAAAATGTGCCTAGGGAGACCAAGAAGTTACATTTCCAAGTTAATTTTAATTAAACTTAAATATATATCTACTATCAATGTGTTGGATAGTATGCACCAGTTGCTTATGTTTTAAAATATTTATTTAGCATACCTATGTGTTAGTAATGTTCTTAAAGAGCACATGATCAGTGGGAGAGTTAATCCCAGACATGATATTTGTTGTTGTTGTTGTTGTTGATGTTGTTGGGGTTTCTTTTGGTGCCAGTCCTAGGGCTTCAACTCAGGACCTGACCCTGAACTTTTGTGCCTAAAGCTTGAGCTCTACCACTTGAGCCACAGCTCCACTTCTGTCCTCTTTGGTCCTTAATTGGAGATAAGATTCTCATAGACTTTTCAGCTCCAGTTGGCTTTGAACAGATCCTCAGATCTCAGCTCACTGAATAGCTAGGATTAAGGCCCAAGCCACTGATATCTGGCTAATGTTTGCTTCTTTTTAATGTAGGATGAATAAAACAAATAAGCTTCATAGTTTCTTAATTTTTCATATTTAGTTCTTGATGGGTAAAATCCTTTGTTCAAAATTTAGATTCATTTCTCTTAATTTAATGTCTCATTTCAGGTCTAAGAAAAAGGATGTGAACCTACCATTAAAAATGACCCCAGCACAGATTTTCCAGGAAAAATTGCAGTGTTTTTTAGGTCAGCCAGCCTCTTTGGAAGCAAAAAATGAAATTAGGTCAAATTATAAACAGTTTACAGGTTTGTTACCTTCATAAGTGTCTGACATGTATATCAGGTTAATAGAAACTTTATGATATTATATTTATAATATAATAAATAATATAGCATGTTGAAAGAAGTTTATAAAAAATATGAAGATGATATTGGTAATTAATCATAGGAGAATCTAAAATTGAACCCAGAACAAAACAGTGTGAATGATTTTCTATCCCTTTTAATACTGATGATGATGATGATGACAATGATGATGATGGCAATGATGACTTTGAGACAGGGCCTTGCTTTGTAGCCCAGTCTGGCCTTGAACTTGAGATCCTTCTTGCCCTAGACATCTGAGTGTTAAGATTATAGATATAGCCAGGTGCCTGTGGACCACACCTGTAATTCTAGCTGCTCAGGAATCTGAGATCTGAGGATAGTGGTTCAAAGCCAGCCTGGGCAGAAAAGTCCCCATGAGACTCTTTTCTCCACTTAACCACTCAAAAATTGGAAGTGGCACTATGGCTCAAAGTGGTAGGGCACTAGCCTGAAGCAAAAGAGTTCAGGGACAGCTCCCAGGCTATAGGTATACACCATCATACCTCAGTTGATTACTTAAATTTTGTTTTGCTCCAGTACCTTGGTTTGAACTGAGAATCTTAAACTTGCTTGCTTGATTGGTGCTCTACCATGTTCCAGCCCCACTTCTGGTTATTTTGGAGCTGGCATCTACTGAACAGTTCTGCCTGGGCTAACTTTGACCTCAGTCTTCCAGATTTTAGCTTCTTTAGTCACCATTGCCTGGATTTGATGGTTTATAACTGTGTGTGTGTACTGCAGCTTTAAATCAAGGCTTCATGCTCTACCACTTCAGTCGCATCTCCACTTCTGGATTTTTACTAATTAGTTGGAAAAGAGTCTCTAGGATTTCTCTGCCAGGGATAGTTTTGAATCCTGATCCTTATATTTGAACCTCCTTAGTAGTTAGAATTATAGGCATGAGCCACTGGTGCCTGGCTAATTGCTTATAAATTAAAATAAGAGGGTAGTTCATAAATTTTTTTGTCTATAAGCTTGATGTTTTACATTTCAACCATTACTCAGTGTGCAAATTTTTTGGTTCTTCTTTTTCTTTGAGGCAATCTTTCATGATATAGTATGTAATGATTTTGACCTTATTATATAGCCTACTGTTCTCAAACTTGCAATCTTTTTGCCTCAGATTCTGGTGTGCTATGATTATGGGTATGCACCATTACACCTGGCTTAATTTTACCATATTTGATGTCTGATAGATCCCATTGAAGAGGAAGATGCTAATCTGCTTTTTGGGTCAGTTCAAGAAGTTCTGAAGGCATCAGTCATGGCTGATGCAGACATTCTTTCAGAGACACTTCAGCTTCTGATGGACTCTGCCAAGCAGTTCAGTAAGAGACTGTGGGGCTTAGTGCCTGTCACCTTGTATCTTCCAGCTCCTCCACTCTATTGTCCCCAGCCAGCTGTTCTTAGTGAGGTAAGATTAGTGCATTATTTGTTTAGTTAATTTAAAGTTGGTTTTGTCCATTAAAAAAATACTCAACCTGATAACAATTATCATATTAAAATGCAAACTCTGAAGTCAAATTGTTGGTTTCTCAGTGTGGCTATTTTATTTCAAGTTTACTAATTAAGTAGCCAGTGAATAATATAATGACAGCTAACACACTGAACTACTCACAAATTCCTGAATTTTAAATATAGATGTTATATTTGTTTTTTGTTTTTTTTGGGGTCCGGTAGTGGGGCCTGAACTCTGGGCCTGGGCACCGTCCTTCAGCTCCTCAGCTCAAGGCTAGCGCTCTACCACTTGAGCCACACACCACTTCCGGCTTTTTTTCTTTTTACTTATGTGGTGCTGAGGAATCGAACCCAGGGCCTCAGGCATGCAAGGCAAGCGCTCTACCACTGAACCACCTTCCCAGCCCCATAGATGTTATATTTGTATTAGAGTTACATTAAATAGATGATTGTTCTGTTGTCCTTAGGAACATGGTGATGATCTCCTTTTGAAAGCTGAAAAAGATAATCGGCAAAAGGTGTCTGGAATCCTGCAGCGTATTCTCTTGCTATTCCGAGCAGCTCGGTGTTCATTTCCCGTAGCACAGTGGTACATCTTGCAGCTGAGATGGGCAAGAAAAGTCATGCAGAAGGTATAGAAATGTCTTAGTCATGTGTTGTATTAAACAGCTGACATATGCTAGTATTTGTACTATAAAAACACTTTCCAAGAAGTCCTGCGCTATGAATTAATAAATTTCAAGCTATTTATACTAAATAACTATATATAGAGTCTGTCTTTCTGCTAAGAGCTAAGGTTTATGGACTGGGTCTTCAAGCTAGTCCTACCCTGGCTATAAGTATGTCATCTACTCAGTTAACTTCTGGGAACTACACTTACATTTTTCTCCCATCATCACTGAGATTGCCTCTTCCTTTGGTTTATCTCTGTTCTAAGGGGACATTGGTGAGTCCAAAGCATGGGAAGGCATAGTGAGTTCTGGCTGTTTCCTGTTAGGGCTCCTCTTGCTATCTTCAAAGATGTGCAATTCACTTTGATTCTGGGCCTGACATCCTCTTTTATCCTGATTTCTACTAACCTGTAGATGAATTTTACCTGTTTTCCACCCAGGTGGGCATCAGATATGACACCTTATCTATCTAAAAGTCCTTTTTTTTTTTTTTTTGGTCTGTCGTGGGGCTTGAACTTGGCCTGGGCACTTTCCCTGAGCTCTTCAGCTCAAGGCTAGCCCTTTACCACTTGAGCCACAGCGTCACTTCTGGTTTTCTGGTAGTGTATTGGAGATAAGAGTCTCATGGACTTTCCTGCCTGGGCTGGCTTTGAACCACTATCCTCAGATCTCAGCCTCCTGAGTAGCTAAGATAGGTGTGAGCCACCAGCGCCCTGCTTGAAAGTCCTTTCTTACCAGGTATTTATTTTCATTTTCATTTTTGTTTTTTGGAGGGCTGGTATAGGGGTTTGAATTAAGGATATCTGGCTCTTACTTGGCTTTTTGCTGAATGCTGGTGCTCTGCCACTTGAGGTATATATTCACTTCTAGCTTTTTGCTGGGTAATCAGAGATAGGAGTCTTGGGGGATTTCTCTGCCCTAGCTGGCTTTGAACTTCATTCCTCAGATCTCAGACTTTAAAGAGGCTGAGATTATAGACATTTGTCACCAGCCCCTAGCTCCTCTTATCTCTTTTGAGATATAATCTACTGAATTTGTTGAATTTGATTTGTGAGGTAAGTTCCTGAAAGTACAGCTTACTTTAACAGATATTTTCCTTACATAGCAGAGGAAAAATGTGTTTTCCATTTGTGGTTCATCTTAACTTTCTTATTCTTTCATAGTTGTCTTTAAAAATATTTCACTAATATATAAGCCCTCTGTACAGTATTTTCACAATAAAAAAATTTCACTAATAATTCTGTCGTTCTTTCACTTTCAGATTCGAGTGAAAGGGTCCCTTCCTTCAATGAGCTCTTTCCCGGAGTCCTTACTTAACTACTGTAAAGGAGGCGTAGCATTCTATACACCTGGAGCATCTGGAGACCACAAGCTTGATGAGGTTTCCATTAGAACAATAGGTTTGTTAGAAATAAACTATTGGCCTAGAAATTAGCCTAAACACAAAAAATTATATGTTGTTTTTCATTTTACTGGGGAAAGTTTCTAAGTAATTGAGAATCTTGGTTCAAAACTAGCCCAGACAGAAAAGTCTATGAGACTATTATCTCCTATTAACCAACAAATAGCTGGAAGTGCAGGTGTGGTTGAAGTGATTGAACACCAACTTTGAGCGAAAAATGATCATGAAGAATACTTTGCCCTAAGTTCAAGCCCCAAGGTACATTTTATTCAGAACCATGATCCTCAGCTCTCAGCTTCCTGATTAGCTAAGATTACAGGTTTGAACCACTGGCACCCCTCTTACATCATCTCTCTGTGTCTGTCTCTTTTTCTCTCTCCATCTGTCTCTCTGTCTCTCTTTGTCTCTCTCTCTCTGCCTCTTTCTCTCCCTCTCCCCCGTCTCTCTCTCTCTGTCCATCTCTGTCTCTGTCTCTCTCCCTCTCTCCCTCCTATCTCTTCTTCCTTCCCTTCTTTCTTTCCTTCCTATAGGCTTAAACTCAGGGCCTCTTCTTCTCACTTGTTTCTCTTACTCATAGCTGATGTCCTCTACTTGAACCACACCTCCAGTCTGGCATTTGTATGGTTAACTGGAGACAGAGTCCAACAGACTTTTCTACCCATGTTGGCTTTGAATCTTAGTTCTTCAGGTCCTGGTGTCCCAACTTGCTGAATAGTCACTGACACCCATCTTGCTAATTTCTGTTGTATTCATTTTTCAAAAATGATTGAAACCTACTGTACTGATTTTAGGATCTACTATTTTATAATAGATTATAATCTACAGTTTGGGTAACACAAAAAATAAGCAATGCCATTTAGCTACTCAGTAGCTTCTTAGATCTTAGAGTGTTGCTGTTCTTTGCCTTATTGACTCCTGGCCTTAGTTCTGTCCCAGTATGCCTGAGAAATATGAAATAGTAAAGTACATCCACCAATGAAGGAACCTTCTCAAAGAATGGGCTGTTGGGGGCTGGGAAAGTGGCTCAGTGGTAGAGCACTTGTCTTGCATGCATGAAGCCCTGGGTTCGATTCCTCAGCACCACATAAGCAAAAAGAAAAAAGCCGAAGTGGCGCTGTGGCTCAAGTGGTAGAGCACTAACCTTGAGCTGAGGAGCTGAGGGACAGTGCCCAGGCCCAGAGTTCAGGCCCCACGACCGAACCCCCCCCCCCAAAAAAAAGAATGGGCTGTGCTTTGCTGGTAGAACCTATCAGAGTCTACTGCGTAGGCTCAGGGTATAGTACAAAAATGCCTATGGGTGCCCTTGATAGTCTCCAAGGGGTATATACCCCCTGCTCTCCCTTTTTGGGATGATAGGATTTGTAGAAAATCTGTTTTATCCTCAGTTTCCATAACATCAAATAGTATTTTCTGGCTTTGCAATAATTAGTTTAAAGTATATTAAATAGCTTTCTTTAAAAAAAATGAAAATACTAACCACTACTACAAAGGTCAGTTTGCTATAAAAACTGGGCTCATTTAAGAATTAAGGCTTAGAACTGGGAATATGCCTTAGTGGTAGAGTGCTTGCCTAGCATCCATGAAACCCTGGGTTCAATTCCTCACTATTACATAAACAGAAGAAGCCAGAAGTGGTGCTATGGCTCAAGTGGTAGAATGCTAGCCTTGAGCAAATGAAGCTCAAGGACAGTACCAGGCTCTGAGTTCAAGCCCCAAGACTGTCAAAAAAAAAAAAAAAAACGGCTTAAATGAATGACTTAAATTTTAGGGGATTGCTTTTTTCCTCTACATAAAAAAGCCCTGTTAACCATGCAAGAGTGGAGAAAATATATTTTATTTAATTGATCAGTTATAATAAGGAAAATTAAATTTAAGATGAACAGAACAGTCGAAACATGTTTGGCTAGCCCATGTAAGCCTGTGTATTATTGGGGTTAAAACATGATGCTCCATTTAATGGAATACTGTGTTGATGATAAAAAACAGTATGTTTCTATCACCACTGTAAGACAATATATAAGATGTATTAGGTTAAAGAAAGGTTAGTTGTAAAGTGACATATATGGTATGAATTTATATCTTCTGTGTATTCTCCTCTTCCCTCCCCAGTGCTGGAAATTGAGCCCATGATCTTACATGTGCTAAGCACGCACCACACCATTGAGCCTGTATGTGCATTCAATAAAATATCCATGCTGATTATTGTTAGTATTAAAATTTTAAACATAAATGCATAGCAGTAAGTGTTTTTCAGGGCTGGAGTTGTAGCATAGCATTTGCCTAACATGCACAAGACCCTGAGTCCTGTTCCCAGCAGCAAGAACATAAATGAGTGCTTTTCTGATTCAAATATACAATATATAGCTAGGTGTTTTAGCTTTGAAATAAATCTATAAGATAATATGAAGTTGGGGGGGAGGAGGGGAAGGGATAGGAAGGGGAAACAAAGGAGGAGGCTACAATGCTTGATAAGAAATGTACTCATTATCTTGCCCATTTAATTGTAACCCCTCTGTACAGTATTTTCACAATAAAATTTTTTTTAAAAAAGATAATATGAGGGCTGGGAAGGTGGCTCAGTGGTAGAGCACTTGCCTTGCATGCTTGAGGCCCTGGGTTCGATTCCTCAGCACCACATAAGAAAAAAGCCGAAAGTGGCGCTGTGGCTCAAGTGGTAGAGCGCTAGCCTTGAGCTGAAGAGCTGAGGGACAGCGCCCAGGCCCAGAGTTCAGGCCCCACAACCAGACCCCCCCCCCAAAAAAAAAAAGATAATATGAAGTTATAACGATGCTAGAGTAAGTTACTTACTGAATAAATATTTTTATGCAACTGCTATGCATGAAATATTATGGAATATGCTTTTAAGATTCTGGAAGGATTTTTACAATTTCAATATATATGATGAGTATATGTTTCAAGGTGTTTATAATGAGAACAGGAGTATTTCTTGTGTAAAAAAAGATAATTACTTTGAAAGAAACCCAGCAGAGGTACAGATGTTGTGACATTAACTTATATAAACTTTCCTGTTTGCATTCCTGCTTTAGGTTGCTTCAGAGAACTTTGTGCTTTGTGCTGGATGCTGCATATCCGTGATAAGTTATCCCACAGTTGCAGGCAGTATCAGAAAGCAAGGGAAAAGGTGAAAGGAGAGAAGGTATTTACCAGTGCGAAAATAGGAAAAGTGGGAAATTAGAATATATTAGCACATTTTACTGTTTAGTAGCAAAATTTGCTTTTGAACTGGTCTGGTCTGTCTATCTGAACTGAAAAAGCAGTGACTCTTTTCAATACCCATGTAGGACATCGAAATGGAGTTTGATTCTTGTATGGTCGAGCATTGTCTCAATGCTGTGGAATGGGCTTATAGAATGCTACCTTTTTCTCGTTTTTTTAATGTTGAAGAACTTGTTCAAGATATAATATTGAGCCTTATTGGAGAACTGCCACCAATCAGGCAGGTAATGTGATTATAGGTGAAGGTAAACGAAACCTTAGTCAGAAATTTTTACTTTTATTTTAATTAAGAATGATGTTGATTTTCTATGTCTGACTTATTTTACTTTGTACAATTTTTTCCAGGTTCAGAAAGACAAATACTATATAATCTCATTTCAGTGTAAAACCTAAACAAAATGAAATTCACAGAAGCAGCCATAGAATAGTGGTAGAAATGTGATTAAAGTCTTTTGTTTTTAAAATGAATAAGAGGTGGTGTGCTGGTGAATGCTTATAATCTCAGACTGGTTTGCCTATAATCTCCAATTTGAGGCTAGCCTGAGCTACACAGCAAGACTCTGATTCAAATATGTATGTTATGTGTATATACATATGTATGTGTGTGTCTATATACCTATATCTATATTTTACATACATACATAAAAACACACATATGTGTATATATGAATAAATTGTAAGGAACTAGTGTACAGCATGGTAACTGTAAGTAATGATATTGTTTATCTGAAATTTGATAAGGGAGGAAATTTTAAGTGTCCTCACCACTCTAAAACACAGTAATAACTGTAGGATGATAATTTGATAAACAAATTACCACAAATTATCAATGTTTATCAAAATCATTCTAATCATTATATATCAAATCATTATAATCATTATATATCTTGATGATACACAATTTTTATATATCAAGTATTTTGAAATTAAGAAAATAGAAAAAAAACATATCCACACTCATTATCAAAGAGAAGCTTTTGTCAACATCAAAAGATTAGGAGTGACATTGATCAAGATGGATTATGAATTGACATGTTGAATTAGAATTCCTCTGTACAACTACTTAAAGAAAATAAGTAAATACTCATTTTATAGTTTGAATTAAATTGTCTAAGGAATAAAAAGGAATATTGCTTAAAATACTTAAAACTTAAAATACTTAAGACATACTCATGAATTGACATGTTGAATTAGAATTCCTCTGTACAACTACTTAAAGAAAATAAGTAAATACTCATTTTATGGTTTGAATTAAATTATCTAAGGAATGAAAAGGAATAAAAAGGAATATTGTTTAAAATACTTAAAACATTTTTTTTCTGAAGGTAGCAGAGATTTTCGTCAAAGCATTTCCCAATCCTGAAGACATCAGAGTTCCTTTAAGAGAAAAATATCACTCTCTTCAACAGAGACTCAGACACTGTGTAGTGAAAGGTATTTATCATTTCTCAAGTACCACATAAACACATTGCTGAAGATGCTTGTCTTGATTTGAAAGCTTTTATTTTCCACTACTTGTATATCTGCATTTCTGCCTTTCCCTAGAGTTAGCAATGTGAGAAAGTTGGATGCATTGCAGAACTAACTGCTATTTTAGAGCCACACAGGACTGAATGAAGGCCATGGCTCTGAAAATCAGTAACTGTAACTTTAGGCAAGGTGCTCAGAACTAAGCCTTATTTTCATCTTTGTAAAATGGTTATTGTCTTCTTTATAAATATGTGTTGAGAGAATATTAAGATGAGAGATACAAAAGGACCATATAAGTGTGTGTGGTGTTAGGCTTCTGTACTCTCAGCTAGTTGGAGGCAGAGGTAGGAGGTTCACTTCCATCCATGAGCTGGAGATCATCCTGGCAACATAGTAAAAATCTTGTCTGAAAAAGTACATTAAATTGGTGTAATGTTTTGCATCTTGTAGAAATTTTGTTTTTTTCTCTTCATATATGGTTATTCTCCAAATTTTATAATAGGTATTTAAGATAACCTTGTGAATTTTTTGGTAGTACTGGGCTTTGAATTTATACCTTTGTGTTTTTCCAGTTTTGTTTTAAAATATGGACCTTAGCTTTACTATGAATATTACAAACCTCTAGTGTTTGTGTCTTCAGGAGGAACCAGAATGAGGTTTTTTTTTTTTTTTAATGTCTGGAGTTGATTTTTTTTGTTGTTGTTGGACATGGGGCTTGAACTCTGGGTCTGGACACTGTCCCTCAGCTCTTCAGCTCAAGGCTAGCACACTCTATCTCTTGAGCCACAGCACCACTTCCAGTTTTCTGGTAGTTGATTGGAGACAAGAGTCTCATGGACTTTACTGCCCGGGCTGGCTTTGAACCACGATCCCCAGATCTCAGCTTCCTGAGTAGCTAGGATTACAGGCGTGAGCCACCAGTGTCCAGCTTGAGTTGAAAATTTTTAATGAACCACATGACCTATTTTTTCTTCTTAGGCCCGCAAAGTGAGGAATTGATGTCTGTTGTCATGCACTCTGTTCGCAAAGTGAGGGTGAAAGCCCTCAAACGTGTGCAGAGAAACATAGGCTCTTTTGAGATGAACATATGGGAAGCCATTGAAGAAGGAAAGCCAGATGAGGCTCCAACTTTTGACAAGTTTTCTCTTGGGACCAGCTTGAGCAGAAGCACCCTCACAGACCTGGGCAGTGCTCTGCTGGGACACAGTGATGCAGAGACAGCAGATAACGTCTCAGAAGCTTTGTTAAGTGAAGAGAAAACCAGTACACATTTCCATCAAAGGTACAATTGAAATCTTTTAATAATAACAAGCATCTACTTCTTTTTTCTTTTTTTTTTTTTGCCAGTCATGGGGCCTGAACTCTGGGCTTGGGTGCTGTCCCTCAGCTCTTCAGCTCAAGGCTAGCACTCTACCACTTGAGCCACAGCACCACTTCCAACTTTTTCTGCGATTAACTAGAGATAAGAGTCTCATGGACTTTCCTGCCTGGGCTAGCTTTGAGCCGTAATCCTCAGATCTCAGCCTCCTGAGTAGCTAGGGTTACAGGCATGAGCCACCAGCAACTGACCCAACAATATGAGAGCTGTTCACAAGGATATTATGAGTGTAATATGGGACTATAGATTTAAAAATCCGTTTTTGGGTGGGGACTGCAGAACTGGGCTCAATTCAGGGCCTTGTGCATGCTAAACATGCACTTTACCATTTGAGTTATACTTGCATCCCTTTTAGCATTAAGTTATTTTTCAGATGAGTTCTTTGTGCCCAGGTCCACTGCTGTCCTCCTACCCATGCCGCCTCTTGGGTAGCTGGAATTACAAGTAGGTTTATTTGTTGAAATGAGTTTTTGCTAATTTTTCCCTAGGCCAGCCTCAAACTTCAGTCTTCCTGATATTTGCCTCCTGAATAATTTGGGAATACAAATGTGACCATGTGACATAATGTATCCAGATTGGATTTAAAATACATTTTAAGCTAGGTCCTGGTGGCTTATGCCTGCAATCTTAGCTACTCAGGAGGCTGAGATCTGAGGATCATGGTTCAAAGCCAGCCTGGGCAGACAAATTTGTTAGACTCTTATCTCCAGAAGTGGAGGTGTGGCTTGAGTGATAGAGCACTGGCTTTGAGTGGAAAGAAAGCAACAAGAACATGAGGCCTTGAGTTCAAGCCCGAGTACTGACACCAAAAACAAGACAAGTGCCAGGTGCCAGTGGCTCACACCTGTAATCCTAGCTACTCAGGATGCTGTGATCTGAGGATTGTGGTTCAAAGCCAGCCTGGGCAGGAATGTCTGTAAGACTCTTATCTCCAACAAACCACCAAAAAACCGGAATTGGTGCTGTGGCTCAAGGGGTAGAGTGTTCGCCTTGAGCTGAAGCGCTCAGGGACAGCACCTGGGCACAATTCTAAGACCCATGACCAAAAAAAAAAAAAAACAAAAAAACACCAAACTAATTGAAATCCATTCTAACTATTGAGATACTCAGTGCTTTTTCAATCTGTAACTATAAAGTCAATTGAGAGCTAAGCCCCTGTGACTCATGCCTATAACTGCAGCTATTCAAGAGTGGTGATTTGAAGAGAGCCTGGGCAGAAAAGTCAGCTAGACTATCCAGCAAAAAGCCAAGCTGGAAGCATAGTTGAAGTAGCAGAGCGCCAGCCAGGCAAGTAAGATGAGCAAGTACAAAGCCTTGAGTGCCAACAAATTCTAGAATTTACTGGAAAACTTCAGTTCTTTTTTTTTTTTTTTTGGTGATATTGGAGAGCATATGTAGAATTCCGTGTTTGCTAGGCAAGTGTTTTACTGAGCCATATGACAGTTCTTTTGTTTTCAGTTTGTTTTTCAGTTAAGAGTGTTGCACTTTTTAGCCAGGCGCCGATGGCTTACGGCTGTAATCCTAGCTACTCAGGAGGCTGAGATCTGAGAATCATGGTTCAAAGCCAGCCCGGGCAAGAAAGTCCGTGAAACTCTTATCTCCAATAAACAACCAGAAAACTGGCAGTGGTGCTGTGGCTCAAGTGGTAGAGTGCCAGCCTTGAGCTGAAGAGCTAAGGGACAGTGCTCAGGCCCAGAGTTCAAGCCCCACAACTGACAGAAAAAAAAAAAAAAAGAGTGTTGCACTTTTGCCTGAGCTAGCTACAGGTGGTGACCCTTCTATCCTTACCTCCATAATAATTAGAAATACATTCCAGCAGACTTGGAGGGCTTTTTGTTTGTTTGTTGCATTATTATTATCTTTAAGTAGTTGTACAAAGGAGTTTCAGTTTGACATGTCAGATTATAAGTACAATGTTTCTTGACCAACCTGGTTTGTTTTGAGATAGGACATTTCTTTTTTGCCCAGTCTGGCTTTAAACTTCAATTCTCCTATCTCTCCTTTCCAAGTAGCAAGTATTACTTATGTGTACCACTACTCCTAGCACTTTGTTTAGTAATCTTTAAATTTAAATACAACTTAAGCCTACCTAATATGAAAGTCTAAGATCTGAAATGCTGTAAATCCAAAATTGTTTGATTGCAAACATGACATTATAGGTAGAAAATTCCATATTGGAATTTTAGCAGGCCACAGTCAAAGTATAGACACTCAAATTATGCATAGAATTACTTTCAGCCTGTATGTACAAGGATTATGTGAAATATAAATTGATTTGTTTCACTGTGGTGTTGGCATTGGCACTAAGAGCCTTGTGCTTGATAGATAATTACTGTACCATTAAATTCACACAAGTGAATTTCATATATAGACTTGGGCCTCATCCCAAGATAGCTCTGAAAAAAATATATATGCAAATAGTCTAAAACCTCCCCAACACTGAAAATTCAAAATACTACTGGTACCAAGCATTTCAGAAAAGAGATATTCAACCTGAAGTTTGGCATGATTGAGTTACCTCTATTATTGTGTTACTGTGATTTAAGCTATTTGGTTATAATTTCAATAGCTATAAGGCAGCTTATCATTCTTATGACTTAGAGACTATATACTCGGGCTGGGAAGGTGGCTCAGTGGTAGAGCGCTTGCCTTGCATGCATGAGGCCCTGGGTTCGATTCCTCAGCACCACATAAGCAAAAAGAAAAAAGCCGGAAGTGGTGCTGTGGCTCAAGTGGTAGAGTGCTAGCCTTGAGCTGAAGAGCTGAGGGACAGCGCCCAGGCCTAGAGTTCAGGCCCCACGACCGGACCCAAAAAAAAAAAAAAGAGAGACTATATACTCAACAATTGCTTACATGAAATTACAAACATCTACTGCAAACATCTGCTTGAACCATGTATCTAGTAACATTATAAGTGGTATGCCTATTTCACAAAAATAGCTTTGCTTAAATGTCAGTATAGGAGTATCACTCAGGCTGCTTGTATGTGTCTCAGGAGCAAGAGATAAGCTAACTCAACTCACAAGCCATGCACCTTTTCTTTTACTGAGGGAACTGAAACTCTCTGTTCTGCCTTAGGGACTATCTTGAAAAATCAACTTTTGAAAGTGATTGTGGCTGGCAGCTATAAAGTGCCTGCCCAACAGGTTTCATAGCAGTTGAAAGTGTTTATTTAGAAAAGATTCCCAGCATTTGTGCACTGAGACAAAAAGGGACAGTCCTGATTGTTTCATGAAATATAAAAGTAGCCAAAAGGGGCAGCTACAAGAGAGAAAAAAAAGACATGCTAAATCAAGATGCATACTGGTAGCTTGTGATTTTTACTGTTTTTATTCTTAAATTCTCTTACGCTAAACTAAGTGTCACTATTCCACAATACTCTGAAATATGTGAAATATGTAATCACCTAATCTCAATTAAAAAAAAAAAAGAAAAGTGAGAGAAGGGATAGGTTTGGAGCAATGGGTGACAATGTTGTCAGACTCTTTGTATTCATAAACTGTTTTGTAGAATGGGAACTTCTTTGTACAACTACTTAAGGATAATAAAAATTTTAAAAATTCTCTTATGCTAGAAGGCTAGTAATAGAGAGCTACTTTTTTACCTCTAGAACAAGCATTCCATTTTTTATTGTGAAATTTTTATGAACGCATTTTAATTTCTTCTAATACAAACTTTTCCTTTGATGCTAATGTGTTGTATTTTTTATTTTTTTAACCTCATAAAATGTTCCTCTTCTCAGAAATCATTTCAGTCTACCACTTCTCATATAAAAGATGAATAACTAGCCGGGCGCTGGTGGCTCACGCCTGTAATCCTAGCTACTTAGGAGGCTGAGATCTGAGGATCTTGGTTCAAAGCCAGCCCGGGCAGGAGAGACCGTGAGACTCCTATCTCCAATAAACCACCAGAAAACCGGAAGTGGCGCTGTAGCTCAAGTGGTAGAGCGCTCGCCTTGAGCTGAAGAGCTGAGGGACAGCGCCCAAGCCCAGAGTTCAAGCCCCACGACCGACAAAAAAAAAAAAAAAAGATGAATAACTGAGGTACAAAAAGATGACTGACTTAATCAGTAGAGGGATTTTTTAGTGCTATTCTTTTATTTAGCATACATTAATTGTACAAGGAGGGTGTTATTGTGACATTTTTATACACGTGTACAATGTATCCTGATCAAACTCACTCCCTCATTCTCACTTCCTTCCCTCTTCTTAAATTTTAGTGTTAATTCTAAAATTAATTTTTATTCTAAAATCAGTTATTTATTTTGACTTTTTTTGTCCTTCTTTCTTCTTTTTTTTTTTTCTACAGAAATGACTCAAACTGCGTGCAATTAACTTTGGTCAGTAAGTTCAGTGGTAAAAAGAAAACAGGTTTTCAGAGAGAAAACTCTAAAAAGAAAGAAGATCATGGAATGTTATCACGGAGTACACTTCCTATAATAGGTGTTTGGGAATTTGAGCGAGATGATGATGAATATATTAAATTCCTCGATTTGTTCTTGAGCTATGTTCTTGAAAGAGACCTACTCAGTTCCAAAGATCCAGGAATTCCATTTCTAACCAGTTTTTCTGGTCAGCTTAGAGAGCATGAACTTAATTCTTTACTTTTTGATGTGCATACAACGTTAAAACGACGTCAAGGCAAAACCAGAAGTCAGAATGTTTTTAGAGCTGGCTCTTGCTTTGTGGTTGCTCCTGACTTATATGAGTCTGAAAAAACATCCGAGAAAATCAATGGGCATGCCTTTAGTGCAGATAACCAGGCACCTTCATCATCAGAACTATTTCATCAAGTGAACAGACCTTTTATAGTGAAGTCTTTGAGTGAAGTTAATAAAAAGGAAGGAAAGAGTGGACTGTTTGGCTTAACTGAAAAGTCAATTTACAGACTTCAAGAGGACAATAGAGAGAAACCTCTAATTCAGAGATCATCTGACCACAGTTTTTGTATTCCCAAGTTTATTAAAAGTAGAAGATACAGTTTCAAAGTAATTGAGTGTGGTGATGTTAACCCTCAGGAAGATCTTCCTCTGGCTATAAAGAGCACATTTGGCAGTATAGGAAAACTGCTAGAGTGGATGATCAGGTGGTCTGAAAGAAGACTCCTCTCTGATTCTGGTGTTGCTCAGACGCACTGTGAGTACAGTCCGGTAATACGTGTGAAGACCTCGGCAGCAGCCATCCTTACATCCTTATGGCTACTCAAGCAACCCTATTTTGCTACATATAAGGCAAAAAATAACATTCTTACGGTAATTACATCATTTGCGTCTTAGACTTGTCATTTTAAATTAAAATTGTGCTTATATTTTATCATTATATTAAAGTAATAGAAAATTAATAACTATTGATTATAGTCTATACCACTGATCTTCTCCAGTGAGTTTAACTGAACTGTTGTTGTCTTTTATAAAGAGTATGTGTAGGTCATATTTATAATCTATATAATACCTGAAAATGTAGTAGATTCTGAATAAATAGTTGTTAAATAAATGAATAAGTGAATTAAGAGTTGAATGTATAGGATGATTGGCTAAGAAAAAGAAGAAGAAGAGCACCTATGAGTCAGAAGTAGAAAATAATATAAAACTGAGAAGTCTTGGGGCTGGATATGTGGCTTAGTGGTAGAGTGTTTGCCTAGCATGCTGAAGCCCTGGGTTCAATTCCTTAGTACCACATAAACAGAAAAGGCCAGAAGTGGTTCTGTGACTCAAGTGGTAGAATACTAGCCTTGAGTAAAGGGAGCTCAGGGACAGTGCCCAGGCCCTGAATTCAAGCCCCAGGACTGGGAAAACAACAACAACAAAACAAACAGATGTCTTACTGTTTTTTTCTTTTGTTTTTCAGTTTGGTTTTGTGCTGGTCTTGGGATTAGAACTTGGCCTGGATACTGTCCCTGGGCTCTTTTTTGGTTCTACCACTTGAGCTACAGTTCTACTTTTGGCTTTTTGGTTGTTAATTGGAGATAAGAATTTCATGGACTTTCCTGCCCAAGCAGGCTTCAAACCACAGTCCTAAAATCTCAGACTCCTGAATAGATAGGGTTATAGGAGTGAGTCACCAACTCCTGGCCAGAAGTCTTATTACTCTTAATGCATGTCTCTTTTGTAAGGTCCCTTTAAAAGACTTCAGTAGAGAAATGAAAGGAAAGGTGTCACTGGGTGGGGTGCTGAACTCATAATCACAGCTACGTGAGAGGCAGAGGCAGGAGAATCATAAGTTTGAAGTCAGTCTGAGTGGATTGTTCAATTCTGAAAAATAACGAGAGTAAGCCAGCCATGATGGCACAGGTATATAACACCAAAGTTCCAGAGGCTGAAGCAGGAAGATTGTAGGTTTCTTGAGTTTAGGGACTATGTAGCAAATTCTAGGCCAGCCCTGGATAGCCTTGTGTTAAAAAAAAGATAAAAATGAAAAACTTAGGGTAAAGTATCTCAAGGAGACTGAAGGTTTTAAGTCTTTTATAGTGTTTATGAAAAGTAAAAAAGGAATGACATGGTTTCAAGTAACATTTCAAATGCTGCTTGTATTTCTGTCTCTATAAATATATAAATCTTTCTATCTGTTTTGTCTCTCTATCTACCTACTTATCTACCTACCTACTTACCTACCTTTCTATCTCTTTCCAGTACTGGACTTAAATCTATCTATGGCTTGGGGCCTGCTGAGCAAGTACTCTAGCGCTTGAGCTATGCCCCCAATCCTTTTGTTTCTATTTTGGTTTTGAGATAGAGACTAGGAGCTGGCTTCTGCCAGAAGTTCCTAATGATCTTCCTCCTGCGTCTTCCTTCTCCTTGGTAGCCAGGATTATAGATGTGTACTACCACATCCAGCTATATTACTTCTCTTTCAAATTTCAAGTTTTGGTCAAAATGAAAGACTAGGGAGTTACCCTGTTTTTATTTATGTTTCATTACATGAATTGAGGAATCATTTTATGTATCTTCTCAGGCCAAAAAAAGTTAGAGATAACTGACAAAGACAGATGTGTATAGGTACAGGTGTTGTATTAATTCGTTAACACTTCTTTAGTCAGTGCAAAGGTCATCATTGTTCAGTGTGTATTCTATGTTGGGTGCAAAAATGTCTGGAGGAGAGAAGGATTCTTTTATTTTGGTGATTTCATGGGTTTTCTCTTTTTATTTTGATTCTAGTTTTTTTTTAATCCTACAGTATAATATGATACTATGGTATTTGTTATCCTTGCCACTTGTATTTCTACAACCCAGACAAAAGAGATATGACCTTTTTATTTTTAGCTGTATTTTAAATACTTATTAAATATCTATAATAGCAAAGCATAAAATGAGATATTTTTATTGTAAAAATAATGAAAATACATTTTTCAAGCATGGATTAGTATTTAGCAAGTCAGATTTACTTTTCTTCAGGTGGTATGAAGACTTGAACAGCAAGAAATGCAGAGTTGTAGAAATGTAGATAAATGTCTTTTTTTTTTTTTTTGGTACTGGGGATCGAACCCAGGACATTGCACTTGCTAGGCAAGTGCTTTGCCACTGAGCTACATCCCAGCCCCCGAAATGAAGATAAATGAATAAAAGATTTAATCCAGAGAAGCTCTCTAGAAAGTATGATTATGTTAAAAATGTGGTAAAAGAGATTAAATGAATACAAAGTGTTATTAATGGTTTGCTTTAGGTCCTGGAAAATCATTACACGGAGTCTCAGGTGGCACCCCCCACTGACAGGGATAGCAATCCTGATGCTGGCTCTTCAGGTGTAACTATAGCTCAAGGTGGAGGAGCTGAAGAAAGAAATGACCAGAATGAATTGTGTAAAGATACTGTAAAGTAAGTAGGGATTTAAGGTAAGACATGAACTCTTGAAAGTTAAAGGAGATAAGCATTGCATTGAATTCAAGGAATAGGATGTGAGCCTTCTAAAATGCTGTAACAATTCATTTGTAAATTGTTTCTTTTCCATTGGTCTAGCTAGTGCCTTCAAAGAGAGGAGATAATCCATCTTCCAAGATCTCTTTGTTAGCTTTTTACAGTGTCAAAGATAGTTGAATTCTTTTATCCCTTTTTACTAATAAGGCAATAGTAAGATCAGTATGTCCCTAAATATTGTCTTATTCAGTTGTCTGTAATGAAATACTTGATATAGCAAATTAGGAGAGGTTTATTTGGGCCTATATTTTGGAGGTCTTAATCTGATTGGATAGCTTTATTACTTGGGGCCTGTGGCAAGGTAGCCCATGATGGTAGGAGTGTGTGGTGCAACCAGGAAGCAAAAAGAAAGGGCCACTCTCTGTAGTCTCCTTCAAGAAGAGACCTCCAATGACTATGGACCTTCCTCAAAAGTTGCAGCACCAACCAGTAGTGCTGCCCAGTTGGCCAATCCTCAAACATGGTCCTTACATATCCAAACTCTGTCAAGTACCAAGGCAAAACCCTTATAGCATGAAGATTTCTTTGTGAGGAATGTAAACTAGGTTGAACTTACCCTAGTGCTTTGAGTAAATGGGAGCTAGGATGTCCAATAATGTATTGAGTAACTTTGACAGAGCTTCTATGTACTAGAAATGTAAAAGATAATAATAAATGTGAACACAAACTTTTTCCTTTGCTTTTTTTAAATGCACTAAATGAAAGCAAGCTTTTTGTCTCCTAGAATGAGTTGTAATTTTAGTTACTGCTTTTATCAGTAGAATGCCAGCTGAAGCAGAAAATCCTGAAAGAAAAGAAATCTATGAGATTATTTCCATCACACATAACATTGAAAATGAATTCATAGATTTTGATGAGAATCCTTCCAAAGTTGAAACATTTATACAAAAGGAAATGGATGCTCACGTATCAGACTATGAAGGTCAGATCATCTCCTTCTTTGGCTATATAATTTGAAATTCATATATGATATCAGAGATAACTTGGTCTTAAATTTAAGTTGATGCATCTACAATATCCTAAAACCAGTGAAATACTGAGCCTACTAACTTGTAATGTTGAGTTTTGGTAAAATCAAGAAGGTGTAAGACATTTTTTTTTTTGGTTGGTCGTGGGGCTTGAACTCAGGGCTTGGGCGTTGTTCCTGTGCTCTTCAGCTCAAGGCTAGTGCTCTATCGCTTGAGCCACAGCACCACTTCCCGTCTTCTAGTGTTTTTTATTGGAGATAAAAGTCTCACGGATTTTCCTGCCTTTGAACTGGTTTTGAAACTCGATCCTCAGATCTCAGCCTCCTGAGTAGCTAGGATTACAGGCGTGAGCCACCGGTGCCCGGCGGTGTAAGACATTTTTAACGTTGTTAGCTTTCACAATTTTTGAGCCTATTTCTCTTACTGTGTGCTTCCTGTGGGGCTCTTAATTCCTATCAGCCAACTCCGTTGAGTCTCTCCCTGGCTACTTCTGTAAAGCAGAAATTCTTGGTGCTTTCCATGGAGTTGCACACATTGAGGACTGGTCTTTACTTGAAAAAGAGAGCATAGTTTCCAGGGATTTGATAAAGAGGGCATACCTTCCAGGGATTTAAAAACTGAAAAGAGGATAGAAACTATTTTTGTCATTGTAATTGTTTCTTTCAATATTTACTTTTTTGTTGTTGTTGTTGGTCGCGGGGCTTGAACTCTGGGCCTGGGTGCTGTCCCTCAGCTCTTCAGCTCAAGGCGAGCACTCTACCACTTGAGCTACAGCGCCACTTCCAGTTTTCTGGTGGTTTATTGGAGATAGGAGTCTCATGGTCTTTCCTGCCCGGGCTGGCTTTGAACCTCGATCCTCAGATCTCAGCCTCCTGAGTAGCTAGGATTACAGGCGTGAGCCACCAGCGCCCGGCTCAATATTTACTTTTAAAAATGCCCCCAAAACTATTTTTCAAATGATCTATTTCTTCCAGAAGAACCTATTAGAAGTCCCAGTATTGACACCTGCATGCCATCTTCACTACAGCAGTTAGAAGTAAGTTGGAAATAATGGATAAAATTATTTATATTTTGTCTGTTATTCAAGTTACCCCTAATTGTTCATTCATTGTCATAAAATACATCAAAACAAGATTGTTCACTCTTTCACTGCTAAATCCAGTCTACCCCATTTATTATTCACTTATCTGTTTGTTTATTCCTATTCATTCAAGATGGTTCTGCTATGTAACCATGGCTGGTCTCAAATTTGAGACCCACCCTTACATCAGCCTCCTGAGGCCTGGGATTATAGGCATGTGCCCCTATATCAGCAAGACTATTACTCTTAGCAAGTATACAATGGATAGTAGATACAGCCATGCCATGCAATATTTTTTTTTCACGAGAACTCTATTACAGGTCCAAAAGTTTCATATAGTGAAAGTTTTAATTTCATAAACCTCATTAGCAAATGAATCAAGAATGATGAAAGTGTTCCTTCTTTAAAACTCTAATTTTGTTTAGTATGCAGTTTTTGTACCTATATACTTTGGTAGGGGGTAACAATTCTTGATAGGAAATGTATTCATTACCTTACTCATGTAACTATAACCCCCCTGTACAGTATCTTTACAATAAAAATATATATTAAAAACAAAAAAACTGTATGCTAAATGTATCAGTAAAACAGACATCTTTAATTATTGTGAAATTTCTTTTAAAATGGCACAGTTTCCCCCCAAAAAATTGTTTTCTTAAGCAATAATCATGGAGTGATGAATGAGTATGATTTAGAGTTCGTTAATCATTAGTCTGTGTATGTAACATGCACAATAGCTCAGAGTAGTGGGCCAAATGCAAACACAGTCTAACCATCTAGTTAGAGCAGGACTGGGACCTTGGAGTGTGCAATTACTTGCTTTTAGTCTGTTGTTACTCTGGGCCAACGGATAAGGTGAGACTCAAAATACTACGTTAATACATACTTGCTTCACCTCTCTTTATTTTGACTGTTAATTTTAACAGAATCCGAAGGAAGAGTCTCAGAGTCCAAGGGAAAAACCAGTGGGAACAAATATAGAGACTAAATCAACCGAACAGAAAAGGTAAGAAGAACGTATAAGGAGTTATCACTGACTTTCAGTGGAGCTTCCATTTCTTTTTCATCATAATTTATAATATATATGTTATGGTAGTATTGTGTTTCTGGTAAAATTATAACTGTATAGCAACAGTAAACAGTAATTTTTAGTAAATGTTGTACTTTTAGGTTATGATAAAGATAAATAATAAATACTGTCTAAAATGACTTTTGTGGGCTGGGAAGGTGGCTCAGTGGTAGAGTGCTTGCCTCCCATGCATGAGTTCGATTCCTCAGCACTACATAAGCAGAAAAAGCTGGAAGTAGCACTGTAGCTCAAGTGGTAGAGCGCTAGCCTTGAGCTGAAGAGCTGAGGGTCAGTGCCCAGGCCCAGAGTGCAGGCCCCACGACCGACATTAAGCCACAATTTATTCATCTGCTTACTAGAGATCTGCCTTCCCACACTGACTGAGCCAAATACCATTATGGTTTATCAAGACATGTGCCCCTTCACTGTTGTGCTTTGGTTACTGCACACTGGCAGTAGGACACTGGTGATGTGAACACACTACTTTAATGGCTTATCCCTCACTCAAGGAGAGATGAAGGCAATTTTCATATGTTGAAGATTGAATAAGATTTCTTAATTTTTTTTTTTTTTTGTCGGTCGTGGGGCTTGAACTCTGGGCCTGGGCGCTGTCCCTCAGCTCTTCAGCTCAAGGCGAGTGCTCTACCACTTGAGCTACAGCGCCACTTCCGGTTTTTTGGTGGTTTATTGGAGATAGGAGTCTCACGGTCTTTCCTGCCCGGGCTGGCTTTGAACTGCGATCCTCAGATCTCAGCCTCCTGAGTAGCTAGGATTACAGGCGTGAGCCACCAGCGCCCGGCTAAGATTTCTTAATTTTTGTAATATTGGAAATTACTGAATTTTAGAATTATCTTTAATAAAGGAGTCAACATAATTAATTTTCTCTTGAATATACAAACTTTGTTTCATTTCATAACATCGATAATTGACACAAAGAAGTTTTTTGCATTTTTGACAGTACTGGTTTGAATTCAGGGTTTCATACTTGCTACGTAGACTCTCTCCCATTGATTCATACCTTTACATTTTTTTACACTGGTTATTTTTTAAGATAAAGTGATGTAATGGCCTTGGAGCGAGAAAATCCACAGTCACAGTTAAAAGTGACAAAGGAGTTTTATTTACTGGCTTGCTACTTTTCCTGGGCTAGCTACCCAGAACCAAGAGCAGCCTCAAACTCCAAACCTCTAAGGGAGGTGAACTTCTTTCTCCTCCTTCTCTCTGATGCTCTTCCTTGGAGGCCTGGACCTGCAGCAGCTCCTGGAAGAGTGATCCTGGCTGCTCCCACAGGTCCCTCACAGCCCCCTGCAGCTCAGTGCCAGGTTAGAGCAAGCTCTCCAGCTGCTTTAGCGCTGGCCCCACACTCTGTCCCACTCTGGGACCTCCTCAAGAGGTATCTGGGAGTATCACTTCCTATGTAGAAACATACCAAGACGGTGACTCCTTTATTTTTGCTTGACACTGCAGCTAGGACCACCGGCATATTCTACTGAGCCCAGCTTCTTTCCTTCAGATGCTGGAGTCTTGATTACTTTTTTGCTAGCCTTGAATCAGTTTTTCATATAGCTAGGTTAACAGACTTGCTGTTCTGCAACCAGCTATTTACTGAGATAGGGTCTTGAAGTTTTTGTCTGAACTGCCTAGAACCATGGTCTTCTGGATTACAACATCTCAAGTAGCTAGGATTACAGGTATGAGCCACTAGTGTAGGCTAAGTTTTTCTTTTGTTATACTAGAGATTGATCCTAGGGCTTACATGTTCTAGACAAATGCTTTACCATTGAGCTATATCTCCTGGCCTGCAAAAGAATATATATAATAGGATATGCCTTTGCAAGTAATAAAGCTGTTTTCTCTTCATGAAAACTAGTCTTTACAGTTTCCTATGTGTTAATGACTTCTTCAGTGTTCTCAGCAGAGTGTCTTCCTATTCCTTAACTAATGTTAAACTGCTAAACTCATTTCCCTTTATTTTAGATTCTCTTGTTATTGCTGAGTGACCCATGGTGCTTTAGTTGTATGTTAAGTCATCTAGACATACTCTTGGTTTTTGTTTGACTCTCCTACTAATTACTATGGAGACAATATAAACAGATTGTGATTATGAACTAAGCATTACAGAGTAGAGAATGTTAGGTTCTTGGGTGGCAGAACATTAGTTTACCTGTATCTTAAATAATGTGTCTTGCTTCCTAATCATTTATTAATCACTTTCCTCACAGTATGATTGAAGCCTTTTCAAATCCTGAACATACTGTTCCTCATTCATTTTGTATAGATTCAAGTTCAGAAACTTCTAGGTAAGAGTTTTTGTATACTGTACCATTTCTTAAATAATCATGTTTACAAAGAAGAGAATAAATAAATTGATACATACTGTACCAATCTGAAATAATGCTAAATGATTGGACTAACATGTAAACAAAAAAAAGCAACATGAAGCATTGAAAGAGAATACATATTTCTGACATCTCAATCATTCAAAGATTGTCCTCTACCTCTGTGTCTCAAAGACATAATAGAAAATATGTTCGAACATTTTCAGGAAAAAAGTAATAAATATTTTATTGAAATATTTAATTGTTGCTCATTTTCTGATTCTGAATATCATTTGTTTGAAATGCTTTTAATTCTCCTTAGATTATCCTGTTTGTCTTTTTAATTTGTTTTGCAGACATTGAACATTGGCAGCACCAGTGGCTCATGCCTGGAATCCTCGTTACTAGGGAGGCTAAAATCTGAGGATTATTGTTTCAAGCCAGCCCAGGATAGAATTTGAGATTTTTATCTCCAGCTAACCATCCAAACACTAGAAGTAGAGATATGGCTCAAGTGGTAGAGTGCTACCCTTGAGCACAAAATCTCAGAAACATTGTCAATGCCCTGAGTTCAAGCCACAGTAACACATACACACACACACACACACACACACACACACACA